GGATCTCTCTCCCTCTCTCTCTCTCGATTACACACACACACACACACACACACACACACACACACACACACGTCCAACTGGTGGGCTGTTGGTTGGCAGTTTCAGCGTATGTCCCCTCTGTCTCGGGTTCAAATCCATTTGGGTTGAATTAACACATGTGAGGTGGTGGACAGACACATGTTGCCATCCATCTTATATATATATATAAATAATATATATATATATATATATATATATATTTAAAAAAGATTATGATAAGGTACCAAGACAAGACCTTTGGAATGTTTTAGAGGAGAAAATTGTTGATATGACTTATATTCAAGTCATTAAAGATATGTATACTAGAGCTGTTTCTTGTGTTCAAATAGAAGGACAATTGTCCAAGTATTTTCCTATCTCAGTTGGACTACATTAGGGATCAGCCTTAAGCCCATATTCTTTTGTTTTAGTTATAGATGCGTTTATTGGACATTACCGAAGGATGTACCTTCGTGTATGTTTTTCACTGATGATATCCTTCTTGGGGATAAGACTAGAGAAAGAGTTCAAGAATAACTTATGTTATGGAGGTCTACATTGGAGTCTAAAGTCCTTCGTTTGAGTTGATCTAAAGCTAAATACATTCAATGTATTATCCGTAATAGTAGCTCTACTGACATAGTTTTCGCTATGGGCGATCAAATAATTAAAAGATGTGAACCTTTAGATATCTCGTGTCTATTTTTCAAAGAGATTGTGATATAGATGGGGAAGTTATTAGTAGAATTCAAGTAGGTTGGTTAAAGTGGAGGAATGTTTAGGGCCTATTGTGTGAAAGAAAATATCTCTTAGACTGAAAAGGAAATTTTATTAGATGATGATGCGACTTATAATGCTCTATGGAGCAGAATGCTGACCTTTAAAATAAGTTAAGTGCTGCTGAGATGATAATGCTTACGTGGATGAGTGGCTTAAAACTTAGAGACAAAATGCAAAATGGATATATATGTGATAGAGTTGATGTAGCTCTAGTGGTGAACAAAATTAGAGAGAGTTATCTTAGATGAGTTGGTCACTGGTAAATGTCGATCATTTGAAGAACCGAATAGAAGAGCAGATGTTTTAGATTTGACTAATGTTAATAAAGGAAGAGGTAGAGCTAACATGAAATTAAACACATAAAAAAATCCCTTAAAAATCCAAAAGTTAAAATATAATATTTCAAATCTATTGGAACAAAATAAAAAAAAAAAAATAAAAACACCAAAATTTCAAAATTATTTCAACACATGTAAAAAATTAAAATTTTCTAGAAAAATGTTAACAGTAAAAAAATAATATTGAATTTAAAAATAATTGAAAATATAAATTTTAACTTAGAAAAAATGAACCCAACAATGATAAAATCAAAATCAAAATATAAACAAAATTACAAATAAAATCAAAGATTACAATCATTTATAAAAATAAAAATAATCATTTTCACTTGATTTTTCATTAATAAAATTCCATAATAATAATAATAATAATAATAATAATAATAATAATAATAATAATAATAATAATAATAATAAAATTCATCTTTCCACCCACTCACCCTCACATTCATATACACTTTCACACACTCATCACTTCTCACACCCAAGCCCACCCTTCACCCAACCCCACTTTTCCCCAAACTTTAAATCTATAATCACCCCTAATTGCACCCACTTAAAATCCCTCTTAAATCACTGTTTAAACCACTCCATAAATTCCAAACCACTTCAGTTCACAACACTCTCAATTTCAGCCAAGGCTCAAACACTACCCAACCCATGAAATTAACCACTACTTTCCACACCACAACTATCCAAGCTCAGCCTTTTCATTGTCCAAATCTCAAGCCCAAATATACCCATCAAATCCTATCCAAAATCAACCAATATTCAAATACAAAATCTAAGCCAAATCCAAAATTTCAAACCAAGCCATTCAACACCAAACTCATGCCCATTATCCAAACCACTTTGACTCAACCAAGTCAATCCAACTTAGCCAACATTGAGCTAAATGAAGCCTAAATCAAGCAAAAACCAACTTCATATCAAGCCACTAAACAATTTCCTCCCATTACAAATCAACACCAAACTGATTCTGTTAAGTGTCCAAATCCTATTAACACCTCCCCTAATTGTTTTAACTAACTCAACTACCTCAAGGAGGCTAACCCGAGCTAGCCTAACCACCTAATTGCTTCCTAAGGAAGCCACACAATCCTTAAAGACTACATGGAAGCTTGCATTGGCTGCAAACCAAATTTGACCATCCACATTGCATTTCCTCATTAGAGACCTATCATTGAACATGACACATCAGATTGGCACCAATAATTGGTGTTGTAAGCCCTCTTTGAGCCCAAATCAAGCCAAAATACCTATAAATACCAATTTGTGTCATAAATTTGAAAGAGATTGAGCCATTTTGCTTCCAATACTAAAACTCCACTAGAATCAATTTCAAACCCTTCCTAAATCCTTAGCCATCTCCCCACACCTTTCCAAGCCATCCAGCCCTCAATTTCATCATTAAAATTCCATTATGAGACCAGACCATCCGTAATTCACCATATTAACAATTCAATCACAATCAAAGTGTCTCAATAGCCTCATAACCTCACTCTAGATGAATCCATCCATCTCAAGCCCTCTTTCAAACTCATAGACCAAACTGTGAGCCACTTTGGATGAATCTTTGGAAGGATCTAGAACTCAAATTGGAGCTAGAGGTGTTTGTGTGGAGGCTAGCACACATTCTAAATCAATCAAATAGAAGGATCTTCTCATGGATTGAGGTAATTTCTTGAAAGTTAGAATTTAGCCTTGGTTAATGGTCCTTTGTAAAATGCATCTTAAATTCAACAAGATTTGATCGTAGAATCCACTCTTAAGGACTTAGAGTTCTTTTTGGCTCAAAAGGATCCTAGGTTGAATTGCTTGAATGTTAGGATCACACAACTCTTCACGAATGGCTTCAGTTCATTGTCTCATTTGGTACAATGAAGATGTAGTCCATTCCCTCCTATTTGATTTGGGTTGTGTAGATTGAGTTATATTCGAATAACAGAGCATTCAACACAACATATTTGATACTTGCATCAAAAACCAATGATTCAATGGAAAACTAGATGACAACATGAGAAGAAGGGATGACAACATTGTTTGTATGGCTTATTGAGTTGGTGCCGCAGTTTAAATATGAAAAATAGGAATTAAAATCTTTAATAATTAAAAAAATAAAACAGAAATTTAAAAAATCATAAAAAAAAAATAAAAATCATAAAAATAAAATGGAAATTGTTCTAAAATCAGGAAAACAAATGGAATAACATGGAATCAAAATTAAAAGAAAATATCAATTATTATTTCAATTATTAATTAAAATAAAGAAAACATTTAATAAATCATAAAAATCAAATAATAAGCAAAATTAAAAAAAAAAGTCACAGCAAGTCAATCTCGAAACACAAAACAACCCTTAATTTTCTTAAGAACATAAACCAATAAAACACTAATAAATTGATATTTCAAGTGAATTGACAATTAATCACAAAGTAAATATAATAAATAAATAAAAATTATGAAAATTGAAATAAATTGGAAATTTAAAGAAGATATTGAAATTAGGGACCACATTCAATAAAACACTAAGTTCACTAATCCAAATGCAATAAAACCCTTTGGTAATGTGTAAGGGTATACTTGTAATTATGATATTTGCATTTTTACCCTTTACTATTCCAATTTTGATTAAATCAGTGAATTATGATATTTGCATATAACTAATCAGTCTTTTAAGAGCCAAAATATATTGACTCTTCTTTTATTGTAAGCATTCATTATATCCTTATTTTAAATTTATAAATATTATACTGCAAAAAGGAAATTGTGGTCTAAATATCAAAGCATAATATTATTTTTGTTTTTTTTTTCTTTTCTGCCAAGTTCTAACAATAAATTCCAAAATTAAAAAAAAAAGAAAAAAGAAAAAAAAAACCTCAATTTTTTCCACGCTAGTCAAATTCTCAATTATTGAAGCATAAAAAAACAAGCTATTCCTTGTTTTTAGATAACTATTAATGGCATTTATATGCATACCACTCAATTGTATGTATTTACATATTTAACCCCTAAACTTTACAATTTCATATTTGTACTTCCCAAATCATTCATATAGCTATTTTACACAAACAAGTAGGGGTGTAAACGAGCCGAGCATGAGCGAGCCCAGGCTCAACTCATGTTTGGCTCGTTTATATTTTGAGCTCAAAAAGTGTGTTCGCGTTCGTTCGCGTTCCCGAACACGAGCCGTTCACGAAGAAAGAGTCGTTTTGATAACCCTAATCGCGTAGCCATGAAATATTAAAGATTGTGGCAAGATTTAAAAATTTTTCTTTATATTAAAACATCATTTAATCTAATTTAATAATTTTTATTCTATTTTCCTAATTAATACTTTTAATTGATTATAAATCTTTGTAGCTTTGTTGTCAATTAAAATTTTTAAAAATACTACTCATCAAATATA